GATTGATTCACATATTGTATTCACGTATGATTGTTGACATTGAAGTTTTCAGTCTTCAATATTTGAGTGAGTCATGCTTTGGAAATGACAATAAATTTTTATTACCCAACCTTTGAGTTGTTTCGTTTTTCATTTACCCAACCTTTTACTCACTCAAAATTTTGTTTACCCAACACTTTTCTCTTCGGTGCCACCCCCCGCCATAAATAATGACCCATCCCTTACTAGCCATTAATCCTTGTATTTTTCACGTAGTTGTATCCCTATCAATCCCCAGCTTTCTCATTTCAAAACTAGTTTCATATTATTCAGGCATTGCAGAGAACACTTTTCCTTGTGATCTGCAGTGTCAGAATATCATGGAACTAGGTTTTAATATGTTTTATATAATCTGTGGCCGAGTCGACCTTCTGTGTGTCTGTATTCTGGGCTATTATCGCCGCAATTAAATTTTGATCATTATTTCAATCTTAAAATTATCATTGAACGGAAGAATTTTTTACTCGTAGTAGATGTAACTTACATCATGTAAGTCCTGTGTAAATTGCGTACGTGTTTTTTGTAATTATATACACAGCATGCATGATGTTTACTTGCTGCGGTATAAAATATGAAAAACGAATTTAAATCAGCAGGATTTTGCAGGTGTCAAGCCCCTACATAGTCATTATTTACTTTGCGTTTTCTTCATCAATTATTAAACACAACAATGAGCATATTTGCATTTCATACATAAAGCCGGAGTAGTACTATTCATATTTCAAAGAGAATTTTAACTCGGGCATCAGCTTAGAAATTATGTATAGGCATCAAATTGTGCATGGGAAATATTAAAACAAGTAGTGAAGTGATGTCACTTCCTATGATCCTATAATGTCAAATTTCCAAGTATTTGTTGTATAATCAAGGTTTGTTATTGCAAAATCAGACCACAGCGAAAGCAAAAGTGTTTCAAACCTCCTCTTCTGTTTCTTGGTTTTGATATAGTTTCTTTACAATGTAAGATAAACCTTACAAAGAAATCTCTTTAGTACATCTATTCCGTTACAATGGAAAGCAGAGCAAGGTTTTGTCAACTGTAAATAATGGCTTGTTGCCCAACGGAAGAGAAACATGGCTACGACGATAACAGGTTTGAGAAAGATGTCGACGAAAACTTTCATTGCTCGATCTGCTACAATGTTCTTAAAGAACCAAGGATGTGTAGAAATAATGAACACATCTTTTGTCTTGCCTGTGTCATTGAACATCTGAAAGTAAATTCTCAAACTTGCCCCGAATGTAATGAACATTTAAGTGCTGATACGCTTCGTCGGCCACGTGTGTTGAATAACATGTTGTCTAAACTGAAGATTAATTGTGATTATGCCAGTCGAGGATGTCCTGAGTTTACTTGTGTTGAAGGTCTCCAAACTCATGTTGCCAATTGCGAGCCGGTTTGCTCCTGTGTTTTGTTCAAATGAAAATTGTGGCATGGAGATTAACAAGCAAAACCAGGTCCATCACGAGACTGAAGTATGTGGATATAGGAAAGTGAAATGTCATGATTGTGGACAGATACAGAAAGATATTAAAACATTGAAAGAAACTTTGATGGAACTGGGCGGGAAAGTGCAAACTGCGGAGAAAAAGATGGAAAACAGCCATGGAAAACAGCCATGCGACAATGACTTTGATATTCTAACTCTCTGAAACATGGTTAAATGGATCAGTTCACGATAGTGAAATAGTAATCCCAGGCTATACTATAAAGCGCCTCGACAGAAAAAATAAAACTGGCGGTGGCGTGTGCGTATTTGTAAAGGAGATCTACGAAGTCAAACAGCTAAGTAAATTATCGTCGATATCAAGCGGTGGGTTCCATCAACTATGGCTTAGTATTCAAATTAACAAACATAAATCTTTTATTGTTTGCACGGCGTATAGACCACCTGACTGTTCATTGGATTGTTTTGACCAGGAATTGAGTGAATCGTTCATCTCGGCCATGACATTAAGCAAAGATATCTTTATTTTGGGTGATCTAAATTGTAATGTTCTTGATACCAGTGATGGCAACGCTAGACCCCTTTTGGATTTCTGCCTGGCCTTCAATCTTACACAGGTAATAAAACAGCCTACAAGATGTACCAATTTATCTAAAACCTTAATAGATGTTATTCTAGTTTCAAATATGCACTTGGTAAAGTCCTCTGGAGTACAACCAGTCTCAATCAGTGACCATGATTTGGTCTCTATAACACTAAACCTTAAGAGCCGTCGCGCGAAACCGGTTTATGTAATAAGACGCAGTTATAAACATTATGATGCCAGTGTATTCGCGAGTAATATTGCCGAAGCGCCGTGGTCAGTGATAGAAAATTTCGATGACGTTGACGGAAAACTAAACGCTTTTCATTTGCTTTTTGACCCAATTTTGGAACAACAAGCTCCAATTAGGCGAGTAAGGTTGAGAACTCGTCCAAATCCTTTTGTAACAGACGAGATTAAGTTATTAATGAAAACTAGAGACAACTGGCGTAGACATGCCAGCAAAACAAATGATCCTGATGCGTGGTCATCATATAGAAACCTAAAGCGTGAAGTTAAACAAAGATTGAGAAAGGCCGAGAGGGAATACGTAGCTAAGCAGATAAAAGATAATCCGAACGATTCCAATTGTTTATGGAAAGTAATTCGTTCGTGCATACCAAAGAAAGTAACAAGCACTAAGCCCTTTTCGAAAGAAGAAAAGATCGTTGCTAACGACTTTAATGATTTCTTTTGTTCAGTTGGACAAAACACTGTTGAAGAAATTCATTGTTTGGCTAATTAATTTAATTACGATTTAAATCGGTCGCTTTTTGTTCCCAGAAGTATCCCCCTTGCTGACCAATTTACATTCCATGCAGTCACACAGGAGGAAGTGAACCAGATAATCTTAGCCATGCCATTAGCGAAGGCCCCCGGCATCGACAGAATTCATCTAAAAGTCATCAGAGACTGTCTTGTACATATCTTAACGCCTTTAACGTCTATTATTAACGCCTCCTTTGCTGATGAATCATTTCCTAGTCGTTGGAAGCAAGCCGAAATAATCCCGATTTCGAAAAGTAGCGACCGTGATCATGACCTAGCTGATAATAATCGGCCTATATCGCTATTACCAATCCTGTCTAAGGTTTGTGAAAAGGTGGCTTTAAACCAACTGATGCCCTACCTCCTGTCCCATAATCGTCTTGCAGTCAATCAAAGCGGCAATAAACAATGGCACTCTACCGAAACGTCATTAATAAAGACAACTGATGTAATTCTAAAGGCAATTGATGATAAAAAACTGACCGCAGTTGTTTTACTGGATATGTCCAAAGCATTTGACAGCTTGGACCATGACATTCTGATTAGCAAACTCAAAGATGTTGGGCTGTCTTTTGAAGCCCTAAACTGGTTCACGAGTTATCTGACCAATCGATACCAGTCTGTCCGTATTAATTCCACACTATCCGAAGCTTTAAATTTGGAAAGTGGCGTACCTCAAGGAAGCATTTTGGGACCCTTGCTGTTTAGCATATATGTCAATGACTTACCCTCAATAACTAGTAAGTGCCCTACTGAAAGTTATGTGGATGACACAAAAATGTACATGTGCTTTTCAGCCAAAGAGTGCGACTCAACTATGTTGTTTATAAATGAAGATCTCGAGAGAATCCGAAATTGGTGCTTCCAAAATCTTTTACTAATAAATCCAGGTAAAACTCAACTAATGGTTTACGGAAGCAGACAAATGGTCGCCAAACTACCAGAATGTTTTCAACTCTCCTTACTGGGCAAAGCACTTACTCCAAACGAATCGATAAAGGACCTGGGTGTAACTTTCGATCGCAATCTCAATTTTAATGAACACATCATTAAAGTGTCAGCTCAATGCATGTCTGCCCTAGGACAAATTAACCGAGTTAAGCATGTCTTTAATAAAGAATTACTTATTACAATCATTAATTCACTGGTGTTTAGTAAACTCTTCTACTGCTCATCTGTCTGGTCCACGACATCCGAGGGAAACATTAAGAAACTTCAGTCAGTGCAGAATTTTGCGGCACGTATCATTGGCGGACTCCGGAAGTATGATCACGTGACCCCAATCCTAAAGGAATTACAATGGATCCCGGTGAAAAAGCACTTATTTTACCGGGACGCAGTGCTCGCATTTAAATGTATGAACGGATTGGCACCCAACTACCTGAGCTCTCTATTTACTACAAGAGAAGCTGTCAGCAGAAGGACAACTAGACAATCTGACCAGCTAAATTTACCACTTTTTACAAGTGTAAAGGGACAGAAATCCTTTAAGTATCGTATAGCAAAACTATGGAATGAGTTACCTCCTGATATTAAACTATGCGGATCAATTAGTGTTTTTAAATTTAACTTGAAGAAAGAGTTATTGAGACAGTTTCGGATGGAGCAATAACTATATGTATTTAGGGGACTAATTAGATAGAAGAAAGAATTTTTAAGACAATTTTAATCGACAAATAATTTCATATATGTTAAAGTATTAAATAGACAATGTAAATATAGTTTTAGTATAGCAGTTCTAACTTTACTATCTTAGATTCTATTACACTCTTGTAACTATTTTAGTATATTGATTCTGAAAAGCCCTTTTTAGGGATGATCAATTATATATTCATTCATTCATTCATCCAGTTAATGGGCTCCCTAGCTTTCAAGAAATTTCAGAAAATGATCTTTGAAAATACTTCATGGTTTAGGGCCCAATAAAGCATCGGGAATCGATGGTATTTCCTCTCGTATCTTAAAACTTTCGGCAGCAGTTGTTTCACCATCCCTAACATCAATATTCAATCAGTCAATCTTAACAAGCATACTTCCCAATGATTGGAAAATCGCTAGAATTACTCCGATCTTTAAGTCTGAAGCTAAAGATGAAATGACAAACTACAGACCAACATCCATTATATCAGTAGTTGCCAAAATTGCGGAAAAGCTGATTTATAACCAAATTTATAATTATTTACATAACTATAATCTACTTTCAAGCTCCCAACACGGATTTAGACCACTTCACTCAACTGTTACAGCATTACTGGACATAATCAACGAGTGGTATACAAATATTGACATTGGGAAACTAAATGGGATTGTGTTTCTGGATCTGAAAAAAACATTCGATACTGTCGACCGCAATATACTCTTAGACAAAATAGCAACTTTTGGAATAAAGGGAACGGCACATCGCTGGCTGGAGTCGTATCTATCAAATAAGACCCAGTGCCGTTGTGTGAATGGCAAACTATCAAGTCCATCAATTATGAAACAGGCATACCTCAGGGTTCTGGTTTAGGCCCATTGTTATTTCTAATTTACATCAATGATTTACCAAAATGTTTAAACGACGGGACAAAACCAGATATGTTTGCGGATGATAACCAAATTGCAACATCAGGTGTCGATATCAAAGTAATCACTGAAACATTAAATAGATATTTAAACAATGTTGCAAATCGGCTGTCCGCAAACAAATTAACTCTGAACAATAGTAAAACCGAATATATGATAATTGGTTCCAAGAAATGGCTTAGTCAAGTGACTGCCGATCCTGCTATCAGTGTAGGTAACTTAGAAATTAAGAGAGTTGAAATGACAAAATTATTGGGCCTAATGATAGAAGAGTCTTTAGACTGGACCGCGCAGGTCGAACACATTTCAAAAAGGTTACCTCAGGCCTTGCTTTTCTCAGACGACTCCGGGATACAGTCGAATTCAATACCTTAATAACAATATACCAATCCATAATTCAACCTTATTTCGATTATTGTGCTCAAGTGTGGGGTTGCTTAGGGAAAACATTAGCAGCTAAAGTTCAAAAATTACAAAACAGAGCGTTTCGAATAATCACTCGTGAGAATTATACGACACGATCGGCTGATATATTAAACAAGCTAAAAGTTCCGAACCTCGAAAAAAGAAGAATGCAACAACTTTCAATTCTCATGTACAAGGTGAAAAACAAATTGATCCCCGATTACTTGTATGATATGTTCACAAATGTGAGTGAAGTACACGACCATAACACAAGACAGTCGGGAGCCGATTTGACATTGCCTAAACCAAAAACAAATAGTATGAAAAATGCATTCTCCTACAGAGGTGCGGAAGTCTGGAACTGCCTTTCTGCATCGGTAAAAGCATCAACAACTATTGCTAATTTTAAGTCTAACTTGAAGCATGCAAATTAACATCATGAAAGTAATCCTGCCATTGTTTCCATCTACCTAAAATAATTTTCTTGTAACTATTTATTTCTTATTTCTGCTTGTGTGAGCACGGCCGGTTGGAAGATCACCTTTTTTTCTTTTTATATCTTGTACATAATTAATTTTAGTATAGGTGAAATTGTACCGTGTTGAAATATAGTTCATAATAATAATAATAATAATAATAATAATAATAATAATAATAATAATAATAATAATAATAATAATAATAATAATAATAATAATAATAATAATAATTTATAAAATCTAAATTGTTGTAGTATGTTATAGTATATGTTATAGTAAGCAGTTAATTTATGGTAAAAGTCTAAGCCTAAATTTTGGCACGAGAATTGTCTACTTCGAAGTCCGTTTCTTGAACGTTCGTTGTTATCCTCCTGGGTGCTCTAGTCCCTCTGAGACAAAGTAGAGCTGACCGCAAGATAGCAAAGGAGACCTTGGCTCGTATCCAGGACATGGTCGTAGAGTAGTCTTCGCCTTTCTTCGCTGCTATGAGCTCGGCCAATCTGCTATGATACCTCTTGCACTCTTCACTCATGCCTCCAGTCGTTGTAAATACTAATGGTGTAAACGTTCCGTGTTCTATCTCCATCACTCTTTGGGCATACATCCTCTTCTTCTCGTTTTCATGTTGCCTGTATATCTGTTGAGGGCTCAGGTCTTTGTAGGATTCCGCGTTGGGGTGACAAACCCTAACGTCAAAGAACGCGGACCTTTGTTTCTCCCAAAACCCTCGAGCGTGGATATCTAGACGAGCGTCGGATGCTGTATTTGCTCCTCTTGGTAAAACCTCGCCAGTTAACTCTTGAAGAACGGGTTCAACCTCGACATCATTACAGACGATGTTAAGCATATCAGCCTCAAGATCTCGCAGCTCGTTGTGGCGCTGTATGATGAATCCACCTCGCTTGCAGATCATTGCGTGATCAATATTGAAAGTATCGCCACACACGCATACTGATGGCTTATCAGCAATTTTCCACTCATATCTCAGCTTTACTGCGTCTCGAAACTCACCCTTGTTCAGATTGTAGTCCATTTCCTTAATGGGGATAACTGTTAACCAGTTTAGATGCACCTTTCTCAGTTGCTAGTTCCATAGCACGCCGTGTTTTCGGGGGTAGAGAGTTCTTAATACCATCCCGTTTAGCCTGAAGTACTTCGTTCTTTTCATTTCGCGCATTCTGCTGCAGTGTGTGAATAACAGAGTCATCTGGAATTTCGTAGGCTTGTGCGATAATTTTCTCTACCAGCGGCGCTGTGGTCTTTATCGACGTTTCGTACTGCAGTGCTGCATCCTGTCTAGGATTTACAAGGCCAAGACCGCCCATTCGTACTGGGAGTGCCAGGAGATCCCTTTCACTCTTAGTACAGTGATGATCCGTAATTGATGGTATCAGGACATCAGCAATAGCACGCTCCAAGGGCTCCAGTAAATCTTCTATATCTGGAAGTGTTCTAAGAAAATACGTCCATCGATGGCGGAGGCCAAAGGTGAAGGCGGCATAGCAGGCTTGTGGGTGTGACGCTGCGAATTCAGCTAGCTTGACGATTTGGCTAACCCAGTCCTCTACCTTGCCGTTGACGTATTCTTCCAGGAAAGCCATCGAACCCAAGGCTGCGCCCAAATGCTTTTGCCCCTGTGCAGAGATATTGATCGCTGTCCCATCAAAAATAGCATGAGCACTTTCTTCTTTTCCACGCTTTATGATCAGCCAGCATTTCTTAGCATTTGGAAAGTATCCCAAATTAGGGCCAGCTTCATTCAGGTGTTCCCACCATCGCTTGATATCTTCCAGAAATCCCGCGCCACTTGCGTCGTCAGCAAACCAACATTGCTTAACATTGCTTGACACATTCAATCCGGTGATCAGGGGTTGAAGACTGATGGCATACATCCCCATGGCCAGGGGATCCCCTTGTGTGGTACCCTCGGTGGACTTGAGCTCTCCTCCACCAGATATAAATAGTCTAGCTGGTTCGCGATAGGTGTTGATTGCGTAGGTTGACATAGATGGACACAGAACTGTTATGTTGTGGAGTGCAGCCGCTCGATTGAGTGCGTTGAATGCGTTTGAGGCATCAATCAGAAGTACGGCATCTGTCTCGTCTGCTTCAAATATGGAGTGCATCGCATGAATAGCTGCCTCACTTCCGCTCTTAAGACCTGCGCACACCTGTAGCTAGCCACTGGCATCAATCACGTCGGGCTTAATCACTTTCATAACACATTTCCCGACAATCCTCCTGATAACTTCCCCGACGCCAATTGGACGAACCGCACCCTCGCCTTTGTCAAGAGGTATAAGCCTGTTGGCTAATATAGGCTCGATAGTTCTCGGGTCAATGTATTCCGTACATAGCCGCCGGGTCATTGTTGCTACTGCCTCACACAAGTTTACGCCTGATTTCTTAAACGATTTACATGCGAAAATACGCTTGAATCCATTTGCATCCACTCCTGAAGGGCCGCCGGAGCCCTTGGTTCGCAATGCTGTCTCGCGTATCATTTCGCCATCGATCTGCTGATATAACGAATCGTGCACTTCCTCAAATGGCCCGAAGAGTAACGAGCCAAGTTTGGCCTCTTGTGCCTCAGGGTGTTTCTCCTGAAGCTGTCTCATCACGTCGTCAGTCAAAGGCAACACTCCATCACAATCAGCCTCACTGAGATATCTCAAAGCAGAATTGATCTGACCTTCCATGACCAACTTGGCGAATATCTTCGCTTTATTTGGAGGCTCCGTCCTTTTAGCCTTTGCTAGACGCTTTTGAATGGACCGGCCTTCACGAAGTAAGCTCTCGACTTCTCCTTCTTTCCATAGCGCTAGTCGTTTTTCCAAGCACTCTTTGTGATCTTTTGCCTTCGATTTTACGCTTGGCTTTTGCAGTGCCGTTGCCAAGAGAACAATTGCAGCTTTCAGCGCTATGTGTTGTGTTTGCGATGCGTTGTTCCAATCGTTTATATGTTGTGTTAGCTGGTCGATAAAGTCTCGCCCAACTTTGCCATACGGGACGAGAAAAGTATTTTTACGCCATCGCGTAATTTCATCGTATGCATTAATTATGGTTGACAAGTTGACCGTAATTATTGAGCCGTCCGCTCTGCGTCCCCAGATGGTAATCGATGGTATATCAACAGCAACATAGTCGGGTAGACGTCCTGCTTCATGTATGCCGGCGTGTGGTTCACCAGGACAGTCATTAGTCACTTCAAAGCCCTCTACAGCTTCGGTTTCTTGCCGTTCGTGACTGTTTTGGACAATATCATTGTCTGTATGCAAATCCAGATTGCTGTTTACCTCCAAATTTGCATTTTGACTAATGGTGTTTTGATTTTCAAAATTGCTAAATTCATGTTGTGAAATCGTGTTGTGCCTTCTCTGGTTTTCATCTAATGTCTGCTCTCTTTCGTCATCGATAACCGCTCCGCCGCTTACCTTACCGATAGGACGAGTCTCAGCTGTAGCGTTAATTTTCTCAAGCCTGGCGGCTTGATCTCGCAGGTTTTGGCTCTTCAATTCAAGATGTTCGTATCCTTTCTTGTCCCACAGATCTTTCATAACTTGTATATAGCCTTTCTTTTTGCCGTTCACATGGCATGGCGGGTTTTCCGATTTAAGGAATTCCATCGCTTTCTTCTTACCTTCTAGCAGATCTGCATGTATTCATTTGCTCTGTCCATTTTAATTTCGATCGCTGCTGTCGCGACATCGTGTATAATAAATATTTCTTGAAATTGACCCAATAGCTGACTAAAACACCATCTTCTCCAACACACAAAATTTTCCTTCCTTAATTGAGCATCAAAGTTAAAAAGCATTCAGGTTTCCAAAGAGCAAGTAAAAGTTGATAAATCTATCACAAAAGGTTTAAAATAAATGCAGTTTATGCCAACCCCAAACTTTGCTTTCCGGCGGCCATGTTGTAATAATAATAATAATAATAATAATAATAATAATAATAATAATAATAATAATAATAATAATAATAATAATAATAATAATAATAATAATAATAATAATAATAATAATAATAATGGAAACTTTAATAATTTTGTTATATACTATATATATACAATTGTAAATCTCAATAATTTAAGGTAACTTACAATTGGCTATTTGAATCACAACTATATGAACTAATAAAAATGATAAGACAGAATACATGAAAATATATAAATATACAAGACAATCAGATATTTCAAATAGTTAACAAGTCCGGACTTTCCCATTCCTTATTTCCTTAATAATAATAATAATAATAATAATAATAATAATAATAATAATAATAATAATAATAATAATAATAATACCACTAAGTAATGATAAATTATTGTTAATAATTATTTTATTTTTTGTGCGTTTATTCCTTCTTTTATTTTAAACACAAGAATACAGTAGTTAGCATAAATTTTAGAGCAAATTTGGATGCTCAGAATGCAGGAAATGGCATTTCTGGGTTTCAAATTTCAAAAATTTTCTGCGGGAGTTTTATGCGTGGTATGTCGGCCACACACGTGGCCTTCAACCATTGCTATCCCCCTCTAATATATTATCTCGACAGGAGCGGAACGAAACATTTTTATGTCTTTTTGAGTTTTTGAAGGTGGAAAAACGCGTTTTTATACGTAAAATCGCGTGTACCTATAAAAATATTTTTCATAATAGAGTGCGTGTTTGACAAACATGGGCCGCTCTGCCAGTAAAGATCCAAAGATCAATAAAAATCATAGCAAACAACGATCTCAATCTCGAGGGACATTTGCAGGCGGGATACAGTAGTAAAACCATTAAGAACTACGAACCTGTTGAAAATGCCTCGACAAATGACGAACCCAATTAATGATAATATTCGAAATGACGAACGCAATGATAATATTCAAAACGTTGAAGAATGAAGCGATTCCTTCATTTCACGTGTGAACATGGACGAATTTTACGATCCAAAACGTCCAGGAGGATTTGGCGGTGCGATCGTACAGACGTTTGCGATAAGCCGTAAGGAAATTAAAGAATGGCTGATGAAACAAGATGCATATACGTTGCATAAACCCATGCGTCGCCACACACATTTTTAAACAAAATCGCGTCATCGTGGGTGGCATCGATCAGCTAGCAGTGGCAAATGGATCTGGCAGACATGCAATCCATACAATAGTTTAATGACGGTTACCGTGCTCTGCTCGTTTGCGTTGATGTCTTTTCCAAATATGCATGGTAGTCCCGTTGAAAAACAAAACGGGTCCTACCTTAGTTGAAGCTTTCAAAGTTACTTTGATCGTCTGGACGCAAACCTGAAAAGATCATGACGGATCAAGGAACCGAGTTTTTAAACAAACATTTCCGAGCACGTGCACTGATGAAAGAAGAGGACATCGAACTATACAACACGTACAACGAAACCAAGGATCTAGATTCTATCGCGGAACGGTGAAACGTCTGATTCGTACTCTGAAGACGAAGAAGGCGTTATTTTACTGCCAAGAAAACCGTGAGATACGTGGACATGTTACCCAATCTGGTATATTCGTGGAATCATAGTGTTTACAGTAGCATTAAGACAAAACCCGCGGAAGTTACTGCTGAAAACGAAGAGAAAGTATAATATGATAATAATATAATAATAATATAATAATAATAATATAATAATAATATAATAATAATACAATAATAATATAATAATAATATAATAATAATATAATAATAATATAATAATAATATAATAATAATATAATAATAATATAATAATAATAATATAATAATAATATAATAATTGAATATTAGTTATTTAGCGGAATATGTTAGTTTCGTTATTTAGCTACTTAGCGGTAAATATTTTAATTATGTAGCGGTATATGTTCCAGAGTTTGTTTTTAAAATTTAACTGTACATTTCAACAAACATTTAGATACTTTTTTAATTAAGCCCAAAGAACAGATTATTTAATATAGTCATTGATAACAAAAGCATTATTGTATATTTTGAAAATTAAAAGAATCATATTATTATTAAAAAAAAAATTGAATATAATAATAATATAATAATAATATAATAGTAATATAATAATAATATAATAATATAATAATAATAATATTAATAATATAATAATAATATAATAACAATAATAATTTATTTATAAAATAATCCTACTACATTAATAACTATTTACTAGTATATACAAGGAAGTGAGTCTAAATTGTTGTAGTATGTTATAGTATATGTTATAGTAAGAATTTATGGTAAAAGTCTAAGCCTAAATTTTGGCACGAGAATTGTCTACTTCGAAGTCCGTTTCTTGAACGTTCGTTGTTATCCTCCTGGGTGCTCTAGTCCCTCTGAGACAAAGTAGAGCTGACCGCAAGATGGCAAAGGAGACCTTGGCTCGTATCCAGGACATGGTCGTAGAGTAGTCTTCGCCTTTCTTCGCTGCTATGAGCTCGCCAATCTGCTATGATACCTCTTGCACTCTTCACTCATGCCTCCAGTCGTTGTAAATACTAATGGTGTAAACGTTCCGTGTTCTATCTCCATCACTCTTTGGGCATACATCCTCTTCTCGTTTTCATGTTGCCTGTATATCTGTTGAGGGCTCAGGTCTTTGTAGGATTCCGCGTTGGGGTGACAAACCCTAACGTCAAAGAACGCGGACCTTTGTTTCTCCCAAAACCCTCGAGCGTGGATATCTAGGCGAGCGTCGGGTGCTGTATTTGCTCCACTTGGTAAAACCTCGCCAGTTAACTCTTGAAGAACGGGTTCAACCTCGACATCATTGCAGACGATGTTAAGCATATCAGCCTCAAGATCTCGCAGCTCGTTGTGGCGCTGTATGATGAACCCACCTCGCTTGCAGATCATTGCGTGATCAATATTGAAAGTATCGCCACACACGCATACTGATGGCTTATCAGCAATTTTCCACTCATATCTCAGCTTTACTGCGTCTCGAAACTCACCCTTGTTCAGATTGTAGTCCATTTCCTTAATGGGGATAACTGTTAGCCAGTTGGATGCACCTTTTTCAGTTGCTAGTTCCATAGCACGCCGTGTTTTCGGGGGTAGAGAGTTCTTAATACCATCCCGTTTAGCCTGAAGTACTTCGTTCTTTTCATTTCGCGCATTCTGCTGCAGTGTGTGAATAACAGAGTCATCTGGAATTTCGTAGGCTTGTGCGATAATTTTCTCTACCAGTGGCGCTGTGGTCTTTATCGACGTTTCGTACTGCAGTGCTGCATCCTGTCTCGGATTTATAAGGCCAAGACCGCCCATTCGTACTGGGAGTGCCAGGAGATCCCTTTCACTCTTTGTACAGTGATGATCCGTAATTGATGGTATCAGGACATCAGCAATAGCACGCTCCAAGGGCTCCAGTAAATCTTCTATATCTGGAAGTGTTCTAAGAAAATACGTCCATCGATGGCGGAGGCCAAAGGTGAAGGCGGCATAGCAGGCTTGTGGATGTGACGCTGTGAATTCAGCTAGCTTGACAATTTGGCTAACCCAGTCCTCTACCTTGCCATTGACGTATTCTTCCAGGAAAGCCATAGAACCCAAGGCTGCGCCCAAATGCTTTTACCCCTGCGCAGAGATATTGATCGCTGTCCCATCAAAAATAGCATGAGCACTTTCTTCTTTTCCAGGCTTTATGATCAGCTAGCATTTCTTAGCATTTGGAAAGTATCCCAAATTAGGGCCAGCTTCATTCAGGTGTTCCCACCATCGCTTGATATCTTCCAGAAATCCCGCGCCACTCGCGTCGTCAGCAAACCAACATTGCTTAACGTTGCTTGACACATTCAGGTGATCAGGGGTTGAAGACTGATGGCATACATCCCCATGGCCAGG